TTGCGTAAATATAAAACAGTTTTACAGGTGTGTATCTGTGTGTACCCTGTATGTATCTCTGTAGGTGCGTTATCTTACAGTGTGTGACCTAGCGGGGTACCTCGTTGTTCGCGTTGCCAACCACGGGTTTACCTTACTGTCGTCGTGATATAGCTGGTATATGACAGCCTGTGGCACACACACACACACACACACACACACACACACACACACACACACACACACACACACACACACACACTAATACTCTCTCTCACACACACACACACACACACACACACACACACACACACACACACACACACACACACACACACACACACACACACACGTACACACGTACACACACACATACAAAACTGTTTTGCAACGGTCAAGCCTTTTGTCGGCCCACATTCAACCACAGTCCCCTTCACAGTCGTCCTCTTGGCGTGTTTGTTCTTAAAAATACGTACGCACCTGTTTATGAATAAACTTATACACCATATCATGCTCTATACATTCTTAACGTTTAACAGCCAGTCGAGAAAACGCGCAGACATTTTTGCTTTGATGCCATCGCTCTATCAGTACGATCCTCGCCATTGTCATCGGCAGATCAGACCAGTCTTGTCTTTGAAGAAAACACTTTCTTGGCCGGCCATTGACCACACGTATATATTTCACCCAAATGTCCACCATAATATACCTGGGAGGTACTCAGCCCTAGTTTCATAGTGTAAGGTCACGCCGATGTCACTTACAATAAAATGAAAACTTTGATGAAGCCGCCATGATGGTTTACGGTCAACGCTGACCGTTACACTTGTAAAACCACAGCGACGCCGAATAGGATTGGTTCGTGTCTTCCATGGACTTAGCCCCATTAAATCATGCCTTGATCTCAGCTCAGGAATTTAAAACATCGTTTAAAATGTACATATAAAATTGTTCGTTTAATGCATTCCTTCATATGATCACGAATACAGTACGTTAAACACGACAGGTGAAACAGGCTCGACAGCTGGGGGTCATAAACACTGGTATAGAATCGTAAACACCATTTATCCTCGATAAATAGATATAATGAGATTTTATTCATCTGTGAGATCTATTTTACAGGTAATGTTCGAGGGCACTGTCCAAATCACGTGATATGTGAGTCACAGGTTGACACGGGTGTCTGGAAAGAGGGTTGAGTAACTAACCGTTGTTTACAAAGTTCATATACTGAATTACGGTTGAATTACTATGCATATAAAGACAAGATACGTCCTACCCAGTTGTTGATCAACTGATTGGAACTACAGTTTATATATAGGTTATATTTTACGGCCTAGATACGCAAACAAATAGAGCATGGACCTATATAATATATCCCGTTGAACGCAATTTTTCTTGTTTGTGTTGTTTAGCCGCAATATTCCAGCTATAATGACGGCGATCTGTAAACAATCGAGTCTGGACCACACGATCCAGTGATTGACATCATGAACATCGATCTACGCAACTGGGATGCGATGACATGCATCAACCAAGTCAGCGAGCCTGACCACCCGATCCCGTTAGTTGCCTCATACGATAAGCATATCGCCTTTTACGGCAAGCATGGGTTACTGAAGACGTATTCTAACCCGGACGTTCCCGGGTTGGAACGCAAATAGGATGGCTGTTTGAATAATTTAATTAAGAAATATTGTAGATATTGCATGTTGGATATAAGGCAATACACTCAAAATTCGGGGTGTCAATGGGGAATTTCGGCAATTTAACTGAATGATCACCTATCGTAGGATCAAGGGTTCCGAGCACCTGCAGGGGTAGGACATCAGCAAAATTATATTCTTGGAAATGTAGTGCAGCCTTACAAGGCCGCCAGTCTGGGACCCTCATATTCATCTCATGTCATCCCTGTTGACATGGATGCTACCGCTTTATATATGCCACTTCGGGTGAGGTGAAATTGGGTAGAACGTCACGTCCAAGATTATTGCACTTATATAGCGACGTGCACGCACGTGTGTGTGTGTGGCTGCTTGTACTTATCCGGACTGATGCCGATTTATAGTGCTAGCCCACTGAGATACAATGCCGCAGTTTAACATCAATACCCCACTCAGACACAGTATACTGACTCCGTGGACCAGTTCTTGTTTAAGCCCATTAATGCCGAGCGCCAGACAGGTTAAGAGCAAGTACCATCTTTTAACGTCTTTTGGTATGACGCGGCCGGGGATCGAACCGGGCGGACGCTCTACCACTAGACCACGGAGGCGGTCTATATGCCCCAAGACAGATAATAGGTATTAAATATAAAACGTCAAAGTCAGAGAAAAAACAGTCTCGGCTGCCGAATCAGATTCCATTTGGCGTAAACCGCAACATAGTGATGGGAATTATGTAGGTAGATCACTGTAAATCAATGACGCCTGGTGTTCGAAAAGGGTAAGTATGTCTTGTTCTACCGGTCCTCTAAGTAAGATCCAGGGGTATTCTATTGCACTCAATAGATCAAATCCATTTCAAAGAGTATTTCAATTGAACGCATGTTTATTTATCCTTAATTTTCGTTAAGACTCGAGCCAAGTTTATCCTTAAATAACAGTTAAGTCTTAAATTAAGTGTTTTGTAAATTAAAAAGACACACCTTTCTGTTTCGTTTAAAATATAATTCCGACTTTACACCCTTCTGGCAAAATTCATCTTTTTCATGTTACCGCAATACGTTTTGGAGGCAACCCAGCAGGATCCATTGTGGCATTGATCGGAAAGCATGCTGGTAGATCTCATTAATTACTATTTAGACAGGGTGTGCAATAAATGCGATACAAAGGGAGGTACACCCACGCCGAATCAATCAGAAACTCATATTTTCGTCAATGATCCGTGCAGTACTTCAAATAGAGGATGGGCGTGACCAGGTAATTTGTTACCTATGTTGTTACCTACAGGTTGATTAATTGCCCAGGTAAGGGGTAGGATTACCTGGGAGAGACTTTCATGTTTCCGACAATATGTTTTAAAATTAATGACGCGTAAACGATTGTGGAATTACGTCATGTATACATCAGGTCTTCTCTGGCGTACATTATTGTTTACTGTACTGTGACTTGAACAAGGATAATTAGACCATGACCTTATTTCCCCACACATGTTCAAAACATATTTGCGATTTTTTCCCCCCAAAACAAACATGCCTGATGAACAAAAAGTGCTACGATTCGTGGTAGGGTAACGTATATGTTACAAAAATTCCCAATTTTGACTTGTACCGTTCGTTCCCGTGTTTTCATGCGAACAATTGACTTTTCTTTGCATGTGTTTGTGATGGGTGCCACCACTGAGGCAGAATTTGCTCAGCTTTCCTTTTTCCGGGAACACCCGGTACCATCGCGGTTTGATGGTGTTTCATAAGCACATGATTATGACAATCGGAATCGTACAATTGAATTATTGCAAATATTCCTTGTAATTGTACCCGTGAAGATCCGGGATTGTATAGGTATTCGGCATCCCATGCTGGCCGTAAAAGGCGACTAACAGGATCGGGTGGTCAGGCTCGCTGACTTGGTTGATGCATGTCATCCTATCCCAATTGCGTGGATCGATGTTCACACTGGATTATCTGGTCCAGGTTCGATTATTTACAGACCGCCGTCATATAGCTGGAATATTGCTGAGTGCGGCGTTAAACAACCAACCAACCTTGTAATTGTGGGAAGGGTATTATCGCCTTTCCAACATTGCCGTTCACGTTTGTTGTGAATTACTGGGAATATATATGCACGTTTTGTTCGTGACTGCTATATATCGCCTGTTTAATTTGTCAGGTTCTTGAAATGTATGTTGTCTATTAAATATTATAGGATATCTCATTCAGAATCGAAATAGGGTGTCTTTGGAAGAAATTGAATCAAACACCATGTTGCGTTCGTGTGTAAATGTTAAATACCACGGTCAGCTAAATTTCAGATGTAAAAATGTGACTTAGGGCTTGTCCGGGTTACTGGTTGGCACTATCATACAACTACCCATCCCGTCAGGTTAGAGTGAGACCAAATGGCGGGTCAGTATAACACCTAGTTCAGTTTAGTCAGCTTTACGATGTACTTGGGGTCTGTTCTGCTAAATAAGAGAAACTCTTAATCTGATGAAAGGAGGGTCGATTGTAAGATTCAGACTATATCATGAGAATCAAACAGTAATGGTACGCTTTAGAAAACGTCTTAGAATACGTTTCCTTGGACATAAAAATTGCCCAGGCTTCACACGTTTTTTTTATCTTAGCTGAGCCTATGAACCTGACCATTACTGTCAGTTACCTGTGACGTTGTGTACGAGGGTGTACGGAGTGTGCGAACTGGACAGGCTTGTACACAAGACACGTATGGTAACAGGAGTGTGTGCAGGGTCGTCCATCAAACATGTCATCCGCACAGGGATGTCAGCCGACTGACAGTTTCGTATACCATGAATACACAATGCCATGTAGAAAAGGATAACACTTTCTTAGTAAAGTACAAAATCTAGTACTTTTTGGGTACCACCCGGAATTCGAACCCACACTAACCAGATACCAAATATAGACAGTAGATACGATTACGTTTCTATTGCGCCCCGGGTTAAGATCGGGTTGTCATGCATGTCATCGTAAACCAACTGCGTGGATCGATGCTCACGAGGTTATTTACTGCCCGACGTTATAATATAGCTGGAATATTGCAGAGTGTGGCGACAAACGAAAAACCACGTCACCAAAGCGTTAAACAAGTCAATTGCGTTGCCTATGAAATCTGTGTGATGTGCCTCGAAATCTGTTGCACCGTGTGTGGAATATAATAAGGTAATATCCTGGTGTGAAGCATGCACAGTTAAGAGATGCAAGATCCGACACGGGTACTTGTAGTACACAGTTGTGTCATTACAAAACCGTTGCACACTGCGCCCATCTCAGAGCTATGGGCAGAATGTAGTAAACACCAAATAGTTCAGAATTTGAAAAATAAAACAATCTCTTGGTATATATTTGCCGTAGCACTAGCAGGGGGCGTTTATTGCATCAATTGGTTCAAGTCCGTGGACATAGCATAAATATACATAGCTGTACAGACAGTTGTGGGATTTAACCTGCATTACAGGCGTCAATACAATATTTTGCTCTCCTCGGCATCATTTGACGTTTCACAGAAACTTAGATGCATATGTTGACATTTCAAGCATCACCTTGCATTAAAACATAAATTGCAATCTTTTTTGGTTTTCGATCCCCACAAGGGTTTAAGTTAAAACATTTAAAATGTTTTCCGATCATACATAGCTTTAAAATAAATTAGATAATTTATCCCTTCATATATTACGTTGTATATACACTATGTATAAAACAATTCATCCGTCTCGCTTTCTCTCACACATATATTTACATATTTATAAATAGTCAACAATGGTAAAAACAATAACAATGGATTGTGCCTAGAAGCGGAGACAACGTGTTCGTTTCTTCTCGCCGGCGGTCCAGGACTTGGCCTTGGTGCGGAAGTGACGTAGGTCGGAGGAGTAGTCCTCGTGCAACATTGGGGTGTAGGCGTGAGGTTCGCACAGGTTCTGGGGAAGAAAAGTCATTAGTCATTAGCATAAATGAAGCACAACGCCTGATAACCGACAATATTGATTTGAATTCGTTTGTCATCGTTTAATCGTTCTCTGCATGTGAAAAACATTTCATTGTATTATGATAACTGAACGGATGCATACCTTGTGTTGCTCGAAGTAAGCCTTGTAACCTCCCTCCAAGATGTAGATTTCTGGGTAGAACAGCTTTGGGTAGTGCTCAGAGTTCATATTACGGTCTTGAGAGCGAAGAAAACGCAATCTGGAAGGAAATAATGCATCATAAGTAACTGATCAATGAAGTGAGGTTTTACAGGGGCAATATCAGCGAGACACGTGTACACACGTGGGAGTTCTTACATCGTCCGTAAGGAAATCGTATTTTTATAACATTTAATTTGCCATTTTAAGACTATGGATGACTATGACCTTAATACTTACAGAGAAGGGCCTCTCTTGGATGAGAACTCGCAGTGGAAGACGAGGACACGGCGTTTGTTGGACGGGCCCATCTTTGTTGTCTCCTCAAGGAGTTCGTTGATCTGGTCATACGTGTACATGTTGACAGCACCCTGCGGGAGGAGAAGGGAGATAACTGTGACTTGAGTCAGGATAACATCAGTTGGGTAACCAACAATAGGATCGTTACAGGACGGCGAACGATTTATGGCCAGACTTGCGTAATGGGATTTAGAAGGATCAACCAGGAATGTTAAACAACGTTCTCAAAGAAAAAAACACGTTAGAAGTTGACGTCAATTGAATCTTTGTTTGAATTGTTTATGGTACTTACAGTGATGTGACCTCCTTCGTACTCGTAAGGATATCTGCAGTCGATGATGGCGTACTCGTCGACGGTGTCGGCGTAGTGGCCACAGATGAGGTGGGCAATTGTTGATGGGGACACAGCTTTGAGATCCTTGTGTTTTCCTTGCTGAAGAGGCAGGGCGTATGTCTGAAACCAAAAATAATAAACAATGTATATTTGAAAATATATTACATGAAAGGATGGAGTTAAGGATGGCCACTGAACAGTAGCAAATTTCAAAGGACAATGATATATTTCGATTATCTGCCAGATTTTATTGCAGTAAGCAATCATTAGCAATAAATACCTTGCTTCCATCAGCGATAAGTTCAGCACTCTCCAGACGTTCAACTGCTGCCTGGATCCTGAGCTGTTCGTGCGAAGGGGGTGCGGGAGAAGGCATCTGCTGGAACAAAACAGAGAACATTAGACCTGGGTCGACTGCGTTATCCGAAACACGTCGGGCTATATCTGACCTCAGTCGTAAGTCCGGGGCTTACGTAAGAGGCTGGAATTTGTGGCGATTTTAGGATGAAATGGCTGAGTTGGTTCAAACAGTTGGGGATTGATGGCTACATCCCGGGGCTCTTACCGAGCTCCTATGGTAACGAGCTATGGAAATACGGACAGGGGTGCGTGATTTCTGTGAATACTGCGGGTGGTTTCTTTGATACCCAACACGAGACGCAAGCCTTTGATATCCACCTTTCAAACAGTGGCTAGAAAATTACACATTTTAAGCTCGCTTTGCCTCATTAATTTGTCCAATTGGGAGGAGATACCGTCCTCAAATGAGCTCGGGTAGTTGAGACTGATATTTAAGGTCGAAATACACGAATACCCATGGATGACTGTCGTGTTGATTTTATTTAAGATATAAAGCAATCTGATTTACCTCGGGAATGGCGTTCTCTTCGCCCGACAATCTAAGCCTCCTCATCTTGGTGGGTCTGCGTGCGGGACGACATTCAGCGTCGTAGGGGGAGGTGTTCTGGCTCTGGAACAACTTCTTCCTCATGTCAAGGGAGTTGCATCGTCGTAGTGGGGTTCTGATGGAGAAGTCCCTGCCGTTCTGCGTGAGCGACTGGTTGGGCAGTGACTCCAAGGGGCACAGGCCAAAGTCCATTTCCTCGGACTGAAAAATAACAGCACCATGATGAAAATATAGTCTTTTCGACAGCGTCATAAATATCAGGCGTGTAATAGTAAATCTCGTTGACAGGTAGTTCGCGCACGGACACTCGTTTGTAAAGGTTGTTGAGTACAATAGCTATTCACGTTGTTTTCTTGCCAGGCATTAGATGGGATTACGTCAACAAGCACAATTTACGACCAAGAGTGTTATACACTTTCAATGCTATTGGTCGTCACAGAATGAACACACCTTTCAAGAGATTTTTACTACTAGATCTGGTCAATTTGCAGGCCTGAGAATGGAAATGCTTTTGTAACGCTCAGGAAATCCGGACATTGATGGTGAAAGTGATCCATCAAGTGTGAAATTAAGTACCTTGCTGAAATCACCGAGACTGTGATTGGTGTCGTCGTCGATGCTGATGTAGCCAGACGTCCCCGAGCCGGGACTGTTGAGGAAGATGTCGGCTGCCTCCATCTCGCAGTCGTCGAAGTCAAGCATCATGTTGATTCGAGAAGCTGAAGAAAATTCACCGATGTTACCCAATGACGGAAATAAATCTATCAAATTCCGACTGCATAGAATGAAGGTGTAAACGTACACCTCCGTTCAGGGTAATGGCCGCGAGCCACCTGCGCCTAGCTTGCAGACGACAAAGATATTGATGTGAAGACGACAAAGACACGACTATGAGCAGACGACAGTTGACAACAATGGAGGTGACAGACGACAGGAAGTGGTCCCAGGTCGTGTTAACACAGACTGACCCCGAGAGAAAGACGCAACAATATTTGTCCCCTATCCGGCTAGTGTTTGGAGAGGCTTGCGCCCTGAAGAGCCCTTCTCAATAGCAAATCTGGTTAGTCCCTACCCCACGGCTAGTACCCGGAGTGTAACGAAAACTGGCGAAGACACTACGGTTGCTCTGCCGGAGGGACAGCTCAACAGCGAAAACTGACAGTGCGAGCTTCATTCAGTCTGGCGGAGACGATTGTTACTGGTACATAAGCCATGGAGATGTACCTTCAATGAACAGGATGCGCCTAAGGTTCAGTACACCGTCTAGTCACTGGGGCACGGAGTATTTGATCTTCTATACGGCTACGGTAATTAGCTAATCTGTTGCTAATCTATTCAAGAATGAATACAAAAGAGTTCTAATTAACCTATCAAGCAACAGATTTATGATGACCTCGGGATTTAAGGAAGGTCGACTAGATTTTAGAAAGTACTAGGAAAGTACGATTTTTGTGTTCTCAAATAAAACAAGTGACCTCACTACTAGATTTTCTAAATATAGAGCAAGGCGTAATATTACATCTGAACCTATCAATCTAAGGTCGTTCCCCTAAGGTTTACCCTGAACAATCTTCCTGTTCATAACAACAGAACGCACACAGACCCGAGGCTAAATTAAACTTCAAATCAAACCAAACACTGACCCTAAGGATTTGACCCTTTCCCGCTACATACCTGACCTCCGTGTAAAGATAAACATGTTTATGTTACCTAATCAGGGGGCTTGAAGCGAGTTCACTAACCTCAGGTAAAGCAGGATTTGCTGTATAATCACAAAATGACCTAAACATCCGTATGTAGTGTCCGTGGCCGATAATGCACGATATAAGACTAAATTGATAGTCCCAAACAATACAACCCTAAGCCTTATGCCAGACTTATATACTTCAGACACACATCCTTCCTAAGTTCAGTATGACGAGCCCTAAATCAGCTTATGGTGTATCTATAAACCCCAGCAAGCTTACGCCGATTGCCCAAGCGGGCGCTATTGTTCGCATTTTCCCGTGACTTGCTGAAAGTAAGCTTTCCTTGTGGTACCAACAAAATATTTGTGATCGAAATATTATACTGGTCATTTCGAATTCATGTGATTTCCGGTTTGTTTACCACGGATACGTGTTTCAGTCTTTCAATTTATAGTAAAGTCCCTTAAAATACTCGGAAACTACAGCACACATACAGTAATTTTACTTCATACGACTGTTGCACAATTGTCAGAATTGACGGTATTATATTCCCTAAATAACTCACCTTCACACATTGTGTCGAAATATTGAAAAGCTATCCTCGATAGAACCGTCACAAGACGAAACAATAATCCTGAATATCGCTAGAATCACTGACTGTAGAACTCTAGATGTTGTCCGAACGAAAGCACTAGGCAAGTGATGCTATCCAACGACTCCAAGGGGGCTTATATGCCACCAGTCCACCGATTTCACACCTTCTGTCGTCTGCCCTTCTTCCAGCAATTTCATTGGCTGACGCGTAGCTGAATATATGCAAATGAGTTCCCTTCACCTTGGCGGTATGACGTAAGCAGCCAGCGAAGCGTAATCGCCTTCTTGACATGGGCCGCCCCTTTCTGTCGCCTGTTGACCAGTGGTCAGCAATCAGCAGACGACACAGCTGAGTGAATGCTGGTCACCGGTCACACCTGACTGCCGCTTCAAGGATGACCATATCTCATTGTCCAGACAGGGTTTGGACGGACATTAATGCACCCCGATAATTACCTTACATCAGACTGCCCTCGGACAAAAGGTCATAGATTGACCCCTTTCGGACGTAGTTAGGACACCAACCTTCCAAACTGGGTGAATTTTGTTTACGTGTTGCAGCCATGTCGATGGTCAGTTGACATTGACATGGTGCCACCTTTTACAAATCATGTGAGGAGTGGTCAGTTTTAGGGATAATACCAAGCACCTAAAATCTTGAAAATATACAGCGTCTTGTTTGGACAATCATAGTTGCCCAGCTGTTTGTATTTTACACGACATAAAATATAAGTCCAACTTTCTGTATATACACGAACAACGTTTCCATAAAACATTTCTTGTATGAACTGTTTTAACGAAAGCGACAAACCCCTTTCCATATTTTTACATATTTTCAAATATATTAACCGTATTACTTGTTAGAGAATATTCCACAAATAGTCAAAGTGTTAAGCATAACAACATACAATCATTTTAACAAGGTAATATGGTTGTGTATATTTGAGTACATTAGAGTAAATCACATTATATTGATTACATCGTAGCTGTAACACGTTTGGAAAGAGAGATGCGAAAAGAAAACATTTCGGGAAGCTGTAACGAGAAATACCTTTGATATTTCATATAGCAAAACACATAAGATTAATTTTGATGTGTTATAAATTAGAAATGAGGGAAAACTTCCGCCTATCGTGTTTTTCATGTATTGAAAACTATTAGTTATGTTTAGAGGTCAATTGGGAAGCTTTGGCAGGTGTGTCGAACTTTTTCATGTGTGTTTATGATGAACTTGTGTTTCTTACAAGTTGAGTGTTTTGATAACGCATAGATTGGAACCGACTTTTGAGTACATTGATCGGGTCACAATAGCAGTTTGTATTACAATATAGTTCAATGAGCTATAAACCTGTTATATAACGTCATCGAGTTGTCTACATAGAAAACGTGTGCAATAAGTAAATATATCAAACCATTGCATGTCATTTATGTATATTCATTTTCATAAATTAGAACCTGATGTCTTTGCCTTATAAAGTTATGTTTAACTTTTATGTATCTTCATAATGTCATGAAAGATGTCTATAGATTTTTACCAACAAATCGCATACTTGACGTAATCGTATTAATACACGTGTCACATGTTAGGACGGCGGTGTGTTCCACGTGCAATATGTGAGCAACACGTGCATATCATTAATCAATATCGTCTTCCTTGTATATTTCACAATGCAATAAAGCACAACATCTTAGAAAATTGATAGTTGTTATGTAAGTGTATATTCATAAAGACCCTTGACAGAATCATTAGCTATATATTTGGAGAGGCAATCAACGTGTTTACATTTATTACAGGAAACAACCCGGACTTTGAAATCGACAACTAAATAAACAAGTTGATAATCAATCAATCAACAACGGACGCTGTAAAACGTGCGCAGCAAGGGGTGCATTTCAAGATAATTAAATTAACAGGTGCGCGTGTACTACCGTTTCGCTTCTTTCCTAACAAGATGTATCGTTGGCTTGGGTAGTCGAAAGTCTATTATTACCTTGATCTTTCAAAATGACGGATATTGAAAGTTTACGTAATATGTTATGTCTTAAGTTCCTAATTCCTTTTTTTAAATTTGTCGTTTTAATTTTAATTTTTTCCTGTTGGGACAAGTTGTCTGTGAAGTCCCCTTTGCACTTTTCATATGAATGCATTTTGTCTAAAATGCTTTTAAACTGTTTTGCCTACCATTCCACAGAAGGGAGTATGTATTTAAAATTGTTAGCAGTATTCATTGTTTAAAGTTTCACCTTCATACAGCTTTAAATGTACGAGTTTGAAAGCGTTAACAAGTCGTCCGGAAAATATTATGGTCAGTTAAGTTTAATATTTGTTTTTTGGGTTAACTTAAAACATTACTGTATTATAAGACGGCTGTAAGTGCTGACTGTTATTGGGAGACAAACACGCCTCAATTGATCTCTCGTTATAATGCATTGTTCAGGGTTTGTTTACATCAATGTTTACTTATTACAAAGATCACACGTGACGGCTATGTCGTTGGCAGACACGCTGGGGATTTATAAATATTTTATCTTTGTATTAGAAGTGATCCTGAAAAGTCTTGACACTGATTTTTGTCTCGAAAACGGATGAATCGTAAAAGTAACAGGATTATGCCAGGTGATGAAAGAATACATTCGGTTATCTTTATTACTAACAAAACACAACATGGTAAAAATATTCCGTAAAAATGTGATAAAAAAGGGAATTAAAAAAATATTATACGTATAATGGAAACTCTATATGTTATGGCAGTACTACATCAAACTCTAAACTTTTAAACTCTGCGAGTTTTAAATGTTGAATGTATTATCTAAACCAAAGTGACGAAAAACATTTCATAACCATAAGAAATCTCTGCTAAAAGCAGAGTCTATTGTACCATTCCCACTATATCATAAGCACTTTAAATAGTTTTTTTGTACATTTCTTTATAATTAAAACACATTCCTAGCAGCTTTGACGTTGGGACCTGGATTGTATGACGCTTCAACGACTATACTTGTAGTGTTAGTGAGTGAGTGATTTTACGCCGCTTTTAGCAATATTCCAGCAATATTACGGCGGGAGACACCAGAAATAAGCTTCACACATTGTACCCATGTCGGGAATCGAACCCGGGTCCTCAGCGTGACGAGCGAACGTTTCAACCACTAGGCTACCCAACCGCCCTGTAGCGTTAGCGAGTGTAACCAACTTTAAACATTATACGTTATATGAAGTATAAGCCATCTATGAAATCAGAAACAGAACATTTGAACAACCAATTCTTGTTTTTTTAACAATATTAAACTCGAAGTTCGAACAAGCAGCAGAAGTATATATGTTATACATTAGTATATACTTAATGTTATGTCACTTGTGGTACATCAAAGGTAAACAGTTGTTGGTAAGATATAAAATACAAAAGTCCAAAGATGAGCTGTATAATTTACTCAACCGGTTTCACGCATGTGATTTTCAAGAGTACAGTTATACCGTTACGCTGTTATGACGTCACAGTGCACTCTAACATAGTATGACGTCATAGTGCAATCTTACTTTGTGACGTCATATATATAAGAGTGCATGTTTATATACAAATCTATAGTTCATAATAGAGAATAAATGATGCGCAATCAACAATATTAAGCAGTCAACGATTTAATATGTCGCCTCCAGATCCCCAAACTGCATATACAGCGCTACATTTCTTCTCCACGTAACACAAAAGTAGCCACACAACAACGTAAGACAACTTGGGTCTACTGTACGTCGGAGAGTTCAAAGATACCTACTTAGATTAAGTAAATATTAATTCTTCAGTAATGTTACATACAATAGGTATGTTATACTAGACGTGTGGAGTTGCGCGGGGCTTAGCTAGTGGTGGAGGTTCGTGTAGGAGAAGTGGCCTTTGATGGGAGGATAAGAGTTGGGGAGGTGACGAAAGTTAGTGTTTGCTCCTAATCCTAGGTTATCGGCATATTAAACACAGATTATCACACACGGACCTTATCCACGCCACATGATAGGCGTCAAATGTTATTTGTTTGGCAGAGGAAGTTGGATCAATTTAAAAAATAATAATAAGCATTTGCTTTGCGTAATTTCATTAATATGAATTATTAAGAATGTATAAATTATATGTTGATGTAAGTCTATTCCAGAATTATTCTTTAGAAAGAGAGGCTATGAAAAAGAATCTATCTATCTATCTATCTATCTATCTATCTATCTATCTATCTATCTATCTATCTATCTATCTATCTATCTATCTATCTATCTTCTTTTTTTAGCAATAAATCTTTTGGGAACTGTCCGTTTTTGAGCCAAATGGATAGAAAACTGGTATGTTTTGTTTTGCATTGTGTTCATAACACCATTTCAGGCTAAATCTTTAATAAAATATACTATCGGACAATAAATTCAAGTTAAGATGTTGATCAAGATAAACTTGTCACAATATATACATGGCGGATTAATCTGTTCCCAAGAAACGATCAGTGTACTGCCAACTTCAAATCCGGACACTGCATTCGTTGAAAATATTATCACAAAGTCTTCTTTAAACATATACTGTGTACATAAAACAGTAAATCTGTTTAATCCAGTTTCATGTTTGCATACTTACCCTAATCCAACACGGCGGTTATTAATCTCTCGTTAAGAGAAGCAATATTTACTCTGTCAGGGTCAAGCGTTGTTGTTTGTTTACTTGAACGATGGCGGCTCTGCTGCATTGTCACAACACTGACACTAGAGAAAGTATGTAAACAAATTCATTTAAATAAACTGCTAAGTAAGCTGCCGGATTAAAATACACAGCCTGAACAAACTTTACCATTTGTTTACTGTTGTTTAGTATGTAAGTTCTGCAACAGTAATTCTGTCGAAGATGAACTTCATTTTCTTATGTTTTGTCAACTTTATGCTGATTTGCGTTACGACTACTTTCAGTTTGCTTCTACTCTCAATCCTTCTTTCCCTCAGCTGTCTCCAGTTGACCAGTTTCTCTACCTTATGTCCAATAATTCCCTGTGTAAGAAAATAGCCGTATCATTGCCTAAATTGTATAACCGTCCTAAGTCCCTCATTACATAATTTTTAAAACCCCATGGTTCGTAACTCTAATTTTCTTAGTATTTCAAATGCACTTAAATGGTAT